CCCGCCCCATTTTGGGTGGCCACCCCAGGGCCCCAGGCAGGGGCTGAGGGGCACTCAAGTGAGCATGCTCCCTGTGCTGACTTTGACCGCTGGCCCTCAGGTCCATCACTCCCCCTTCCCTCCTCTGCTCTGGGCTGCAGGGCAGTGCACCTCCAGGCTGCATTGCCTAGGCTACTTGTTAGCTGCCTCTGGCTGGCTTCAGCCAACGGGAGCCACTGGAGCATGGGAAAGGAGAGAGGCTAGGGTACTTCACCCTCTCAGTGCCTTGTAAAGCCGTTGGCAGCTGCTGCAGCTGCTCTTTGGCGGCTCCAGCTCCCTGGATGGCCTCTGCCTCCAAGGGATAGCACCCCTCTCAGTTGCCCCGGCAGCCCCAGGGGTTGGAATGTGCAGCAGTCGCAACTTTCTGCTCTGGCTGGTCTCTGAATTGCATTGCCTGTGTGGCTTCTCAGTGACACCATCACCTGTGTACCCAATTCCCTGAATTAAATTTCTGAAATATTTAAATTGGCTTTTGTTTTCTTCCCTGGATCCTGACTGATACACTCCCAGCCATACACCGCTGCACCCCTCTCAAGCAAGGTGACGTAATAGGGTCCATTTTTTTAGCCCAGCAAACTGCAAATAACGGGAAGAATGCTATCAGGCTCAGAGGAGCAATTATGGAAACCGCAGGGCTAGCTGCCCCACTGAGCTCTCCCTCCAGAGGCCCCAGTCTCCGCTTTCCTCTGAAGATTCCCCAGCCATCCCCCTCTGCCTCTCGGCACCTTTAAAGGAAAGCAGGCAGACATCTCAGCTGCCTGGGGCTCCTTCCAGCAGTTAGCAGGGCGACCCGGTGTCTTTGTTTGGGATCTGCTCCATGTAAGCTCTGGGTTAGGGAACATAGGAATAACAGAGGAGGAAAGAAAGCCCCTCCAGAAGCACAAATGCCACCGTCTCTTCCTCCTTCCAGGACTAAGATTTCATGTTGATTCAAATCTGTCCTTTCTCAGTCTCCTTCCTGGTCTTTCCAAACACCTGGAGCTGGGCACCTTGGCTGTGGGGAAAGGGAGGCCATGCTCCCCTGGGGGAAAGGCAGAGAAGAATAAGACCTCAGAGTGAGGGCATGGCGCAGGAGAGCGCATTCTTGTGGAGCGAGCCCCTGTGCCAAATGGCACTGGAAAGCCCTTTCAACTCACGTGGCTAAAGAAGAAAATAATTAAACTCTTCTGTCTGGAATCACCTGGCTTCCCACATCCCCTCACTTAGGATGTTTTGTTCCCACTGGAGCATGTGATTGGAAAACAAAGGTAAATGAGAGCAATTTATTCCCGGATCATTTTTTCCCCCAGCAGGATTAAAGCTGCCTCAGCCATAAAGAGTTTACAAACTCTGAAGACAGATAATCACTTCCCTCCTCACAGCCCGGTCATGGGGAGGTAAAGCATGTTTCCAATCAGCTGAGAATGTAACTCAAATGGTAGGTTTTATTTCACTTTAATCCGCCGTGAGTTCACGTTCAAGGTAAGAGGGATCACAGCCCGGCAACGCGAACAGAGTTCATTAGCTGCGGCATCTCCTCTGCAAGGGGGAGGAGCTGGGTTTGTTTACCCTTCGCCCCCAGGCCTGGCACCGGCTATGGGGCCGGCGTGGTGGGGTGTGACTGGAGCACCGGAATGCAGGTAGGGCTGCTGCAGAGAAGAGAAGCTGGAGGGTCCTAGTGGTCCTGTGTGGTTCTTTGGGAACCAGCTAACCTGATGGCAACATCAGCACCACTAGGTGCCATGGAATGGGGGCCAAGGAAGAAGGGGTCACAGAGCAGAGCCTGAGAATGGAGCGTGCACTGTAGACACGGTGGAAGGCGGGTCTCGCCACCTGCAGCGTGCGGGGGTGGGGGTGGGGTCGGGCCGATGATGATGAACCATCCACGCTGACTGGGGTTTACTTGCTTCCGCACATCTCTTTGCTGACTGCAGCCTGGCCACTCAGTGGGCTGTTGTAGAATGGCTTAGTTCTCAGTTCCTGTCTCAGCTCTATGACTTTAGTCACAAGGAGACCCTGAGCCAGTCCCTGGATTATATCTCGCTTCATACATGTATGAAGGGACCATCCATTTGAGTGGAAGGGAAATGTTTGCCTCCTGTGGAACCTTTAGTGCCACTCTTTCTACAGAGAAACGCATTCCTTCCCTGCCAGCATTACCCTCTCCAATCCTTTCTTTGAAAATGCAGATGCCTCCAGCAAGGCAATATCTTGGCTTCCTACAGCCATAGAGAATCTCTTAAAAGAGACAGCTCTGGTCTCTGTGGGTGGGGTGTTGGTACAGGGAGGGTGTTCCTGGTGTGTGTTTGGGGGAGGAGGGTCTGCATGATCTGGCCTTCACTGCACCGGGGTGGAGGTGAGGGCTGGGGGAGATCCTATGGAGACTTGGTGGGCTGCAGGCCAAGGCTCAATGCAGCCATCCTGCTTCTGCTTGCAGCCCCTCCCAGGTCTCCTGGAGGTGCCTGTCCCCTCTGTGCCTCTGGGGCAGGAAGTGCTGGCTAAGAGCTCTCTTGGCGACAGGAGGCACTGCCAAATCTGTCAGCCTTCCTCAGTAGTCACTACACAGAATTCCAAACACCCAGAGTTCTGGCCGAGTTGAGCTGCAGAGGCTCAAGAATGGGGCAGAAGCACTGGCCTCGTTCAGACGCAGCCTGGGGGTCTGGGCTGCCCCAACTGAGGCCCGCACTAGCAAGAGACATTTGCCTCTACCTGCTGTCTGCCCGTGGCTCACGGCCTTCTTGCCCCAGCTGTCCCGGCTTCTTGTCCTACCCCCGCCCTCACTTGCCCCGGGAAACCTGGCACGTTCCTTAGCACAGCCAAAGTTCCTTAGCTCCGGCATGGCCACCGGGAACATAGCCGTGAACAACCCGTGGTCCTGTCTGCATGGAGCCTGAGGTCTCTCGGAAACAGACTCAGAAGCCGTGGTCACGGTGTGCCGATGTCCCGCGCGGGATGCCCATGCTCAGCCTTGGCCTTCCTTGCTCTAGGCCATGGTTGAGGTGGCGCACTCTGATGCATCCGCCATCCTGTCCTCATGGCGCTTCTTTGTGACTCTCGTGTCCCCCCAACAAGGGGCTGGAGGGGATGCAGTGTCTCACTTACGCTGCTCCTCTGTTCATTGAGAAAACTACCCCATCTATGGCCTGCCTGGTCCCTCATTGGAAAAGACCACCCCACTCCATTGGTATATGAGCCACCCTGAGTGAAATAACTGCCGGGTTGAATTCTAACACAACCTCCCACCCCACCCTCCCATAGACTTAATCCTGGAAGAGCCTAGTTCTCTGGAAAGCCACCTTTTCCTGGAGATCTGTGCCCTCCGGTCAGCCAAAGCTTTGATCCAGGAATGGCCGAGAGTGGGGGAGTGTGAGGATGACGATGACCATGAATTTTCAGGCGGGACCAGGCCCCAGCTCCCCATGCCCAGGAAGCCCTGAGCTCTACTTGCATCCTTTCCAGAAATGTGAGCCCCCACCTTTCCAATTTCCTCTTACACCTCTTCTGTAGTTCCCGCCCCCACCTCTGCGTGAGAGCGTGGCACGCATGCAGCCCATCTGGGGACCAGGGAATCCTATTGGGTATGCCAGCTTAATGAAATACTTGCAGTTTATTAAACACAGGCTTCCCTAAGCCCCCAGTGCCTGTGGGTATTTGAAAGCCGAAGGTAACCCCCAGCTACCACAAACGTAATTGTTACATGTGTCCATGCATTCCTGCCGCAACCTCAAACTCCCTCTCTTAAGCGGCACACAAAATTAGCAACATAAAGTAACTCCTAGTCAGACAAGACCGTGAAATGTGGGGAAACGCTGAGAGGGGCTCCCAGGGCCCCGCAGGGCCTCTAAAAGTATATGAAGTTCCCGTTGCCTTGCAGAGCTGGAAACATGGAGGGCGCTCCCCCCTCCGTC